ACATTTTATTGGAATAAAATAAGTATTAAATGCAAAAAGACCAAAATCCTGCATTTCTTTTGCAACGACCTAATAGTATCATCAGGCTGAACAGGTCCAACCGGGCATCTGCAATAAGGCATACTTCGCTCCTTGAGAATGGTGTGTAGCAACAGAATCGTTCGGTGCAGCTGATAGGCGTGGCCTGCGACATATTTGCGGCGAGAAGACAGACGTGCCTCTGGCGGTTTGAATAGTTTGATAGGTTGTTCTGTGCACACGAGGTGGTAGGCGGAACTTTTATTATGGCCTGATGTTTCGACTAGAACGTCTTCATCAGCGGCTCAAATGTGGTGGTTTGAAATTGCTTTCACCACCCAAAAATCCCGAATGAGAGCAAAGAGGTTTGAATAGCCTTATTGGAGGGGAGGTCAATATTGATATCACCCAGGATCGAGTCTTGTGTTCAGTTACGGTTAAGTTTCAGTTAGAGTATGAAAAAGTTCAATAGAGCACGAAATTCATTGGGGTCTTTAACATTTGCTCTGGTTTGTCATCTTTTACAGCAGCTCACAGAAAAACTTGGCCATCCGTCTATTATATTGACGCTGGCGACTGCGCAAATCATGTGAACCACATAAACAGGAGAATCACGGCCTTATCTGATTTCTTTTGTATCTGCTTATTTCCTGAAATTGCGTTTATGGAACCGCCAAACAATTGTGTGTTACTGTCAAGAAAAACATCATTAGATTTTCAATCATTGATGAAACCTGCTAAATGTTGCGGATGTACGCTGTAGTAAATCATTTGCTCCAGTCGCCAAGCTATCGGTTAGCAAATGCACGTAAGCGCGCCGCGTGCGCGGGCGCTGCCCATGGACGATTCTGTTGCACGTGAGACTGAGCTTGAATCTTCAACCATGTTGCCCCACTTTCTCGCAGTTTCGTAGTAATCTAAGAATTGGCTAGAAACTCTTTCATACAGACCGTCTGACTCCATAAACGCGAATATCCTACTCATATAGCGTGGAAATGCCTATGGACTGCTACTAAGCGTGCGCTCAATTTTTTCTTATGAAACAATCACCTAGCTTTCGAGTTCGAATATTCTGCCAAAGAGGTTGTTAGGTGGAAAAATTTATTCAAATTGGCCTGACGTTTCGACAGGATCGTCGTGCTCAGAGGCCCTTTTGAAGTTGACTTACTAACTACAACTAACAACGAGTGGCATCGTTCCGCTCATGTGGTGGTGGACTGGCCTCTGAGGACGACGATCCTGTCGAAACGTCAGGCCAATTTCAATAAAGTCTTCCACCTACCAACCTCTTTGGCAGAATACATTACAACTTGAAAGTTCACAAGTAATGCCGAGGTTTTATGAAGAGAGAAGCTGGACACGAGTAATCCCTAGCTTTTAAAATGAATGGATGGACCTGTTCGGTTGCTAGTAATGTCTGCGTAAAGTATGGTCTGCAGTCGGCGAAACGAGAAAATCCTAGAAACGCCAATACTCGCGAACTACACTCATTTAATTCTTTCACAAAAACTCCAGATTTCACCTTTGCGACAAGTCCTTTCTCCCCATCGAAGTGGTATCAGAACCTTCTCGTGGGTATCGTGGGTACAGCCCTGTTCTCCGAATTCACGGGGTCGTGGACTGTGAACAATGATTACAGCCTTGTTAAGTGCGGATGAAGGGGTGTGCCAAGCGGAAAGAGTTGCTGCTAGCTCTCTACCACTTGTTGGTGCGGGTAAGCTACAACAATTAGTGGGAAATGGACTGATACAAACGACGTGATGCAACCTTGTCGCTTGCCCTATTCGATAACTGTTGGCACCGTGCCAAACCCATCCTGCATGACACGCCCCTTCGTCGTCAGGGAACAAGTCTGTAATTAAGTGGCAGCATATGGATTACTCCAGCAAGGATCAGACGTTAAAAGCGCATTTCTCAAAATTGCTTTGGTTGAGGTGTTGTGCGTTTGTAATTGTGTTGGTTGTGGTGGTGGTGGTGGCATGACATTGTGAAGTTTGTGGTTTAGTTTGCCGGTTACGACGATTCGATGTCGATTGTTGCTGCGGCGAATGCTAGCATGGAATGTGATTCTAGCCGTAGTGCTCGTTGCATCACCCAGTCGAACGGGATGGTCTGAACGGCAGACTTCCACGCTTTGCTGCACAAATTCCTTTAGCTTCTGCGCAGATCACGTTCATTCATCACGGATATAGTAATGTAGTTGCAATTTTGCACATGCTCTTATTGCAGATTCCTTGTAGTCCTTTGAAGTTCTGCAACTTTTCTCCGAAACCAGTAGTTTAGTCAGTGGAATAAACACGTGTTTTTTCCGGACGAAAGCGAAATTTTGCACGGTGATGGTCCTATCATCGAGGGCAAAATTTGCGGATTAAGATCCCTCCCTGGAACTCTCCTCTTCATCCCCTTTCCCATATCCCATCCTATCTGTAGTTCGCTGCGGGTAATGGGGCCTGTCAGCGCGGCTGCGTCTGGCGCGGCGCCGACCTCATTCTTTTTTTCTATCAACAAGCGATAAGACTGTATCACTTTGCTCTAAGCGGTCGTTTCCCATCAGTTCTTGTCATTTACCTGCTTCAAGAGTTTGTGGAAAGTGGGTGACAGCGGGTCAAACGCAGCCGCGCGGTCACGCCCATTAGGCTCCGCGAATCAGACTATACCATCCTTCTGGAGATTCCCATTCCCAACTCGTATCTCTTTACGGAGTTTTTTCTCGAAAAGATTTTCATTTTCCCCTACAAAAACCATCGACCACCCTCGAGGGGTATTATGAAATGGGAAAAATAAAAAAAAGTCAAAAACCGAAAACGTTTTCTAGAAGATAAATGCGCTGCCCCCCCCCCCCTTTTCCTCCAACGATAAAACACGACCACCTCGCTGGGACCCCAATATACAACGTGCCTTGATTATGCGGCTGCAGTCCTCACACTGACTGAATTTGTGGTATCGGCTTAATACTTTCCTCACTCGTAACTTGTTTGTTGTACTCGTTTCGTTAAGCGATGGTATTTTTATATGCATGGCTGTGTTGTTTTGAAACGGTAATCTTCTATGCGCCTGGCGCAGTGATTATTCTTCTTTGAAACCTGGACTGTTGTATTGTGGTAGTTCTGTGGAGTTTGTAACACGTTAATGTTCTGCACTCAATTCCATTATCAGTCGTAATTCGAGCTTTAGCTTCAGGTTTTTCGTATCTGGTCTCTTCATTGTCGTTTACAAGTACGAGTATTGGTACGGAAATAAACGAAAGATTTTTGCTGTTTAGTTGTCAGTCACTGTGTCAGCTGAAAATTCATCAGACAGGCATTCGCGAAGCGCTACCAGTATAGAGAAACTTGGTTTTCAGTCATGTGGAAAGTTTTACTCCTCTGAATGGAATCTGGAAAGACATCGCCGAGAGTCATGCCCCGTGAAAGGAAAAGGAGCATCGCCAGCGCGTGAGCCGTGAGTTTTCGCTTGTGCTAGAACGCGTGTTCTTCATTTGCTTTAATGCAGTGTTTTTCAGGGCTGAAAGCGCAGTCAATGACGAGACAAGCGTTCAAGTTGGCCATACACTTTTCCTTCTGTCAAGATCTGCTCTGTCTCGTGCCTCGGCATATTTTGCCCAACTGTTCGCTATGCATGATCCATCTAAAGGAGAACTCCGGCTAGAACTTGATCCCACTCATTTTCAATCGCTCTTGGATGTGTACAACAACCCTAACAACCTTAATCGTAAGTTTTTGATTAACCATCAGAAGAATTTTACCTCGTCTTTCTTATTGCATGAATTTATTGATACACGTGCTTTGAACCTCTGGCTCTCTAATCTCGGTATCTCGACAAAAAAATGCCTTCGTATTGATTCAAACTTGCGTCTAAAAGATTCCATCAAGTCACAGTTTTGACACACCCCTATCTTATAATACTAGATTTGAAATTTCAGAATACAACATAGACGCCGTTGTGGTCTTGGCTAATCGGCTCAAATTCAGTACCGTTTTCGACAGTTGTGAAAGATACATCGCTGAACAGGTTAGTTGCTCTTATGCTGAACTACACAACTTATCAGTCGTAGCATTTTCATTGGCGGCATTAAGAAAGTGTTCATACTTTGCGTCAGCCTTTTTAGCTTACAGGTGTGCTAGCGTAATTTCAAAAGCTTGATCAATATATATCATTTCCTAGTCGCTCAGAATGATGTCGTATGCTGAAAAGGCTGTATCACTACCTTTACTTTCCTAATCGCTGAAAACGCTTATGTTCTGGTGTACGCTCAAAACGCAGCCGTATTCTTGAAACGCCGACGCAGAGTATAAATGCAGCTTGACAGTTGTGTGTTCATAAATTACTTGTCAACCAACAGCGACTTACACCGATAGCAGTTAGACCTTTACAGCTTTTAATTCCTTCTTATTAGTCTGAAATATTTTTAAGCCACTGTCTATGGTTAGGGAAAGGCTAATGCTTTCCATGTGATGCCTGGTGAAAGCAACAAGTAATTTAAGTCCCGAGAACATAGCTAGCACCGGGTTAGCATAAATGCCTTTGCCATGGTTCAAACCTACAATGGCATTCCTCTATTTCAAATTTCATGCAATAAGTACGTACTGTAATGATCCAGGAGAGTGAGACTTGTTAACCGGAATTAGTGAAGCTGCGAAAGTGCAAAATGCCCCTCCCCTCGTCGCCAAACAGCGCCGATGCTCCCTCTTGAATTCATTGCAACTCCTTTCTTATGCGAAGTGGTCCTTCTTGCCGACCCATCCTTGCTACTGTTTTTCGAGTTAAAAACTAGTTTGTCAGTACGTGAGAGATGTGACTGTCGGGGTGTCAGCTCACTGAGCTATTACACTGGAGGCCCTCAGCGCTCAGTGGCTTTCAATAAATATTGTCTCGTTTTGGTTGTGAGAATAGCCATCCTGTTTTTTCTGTATGCAAAAACTTAACCAGGTGTTTGCTGTCATCAATAAGTCTCAATCATGCGTGTCATTTTTCCTCAGTTCTTGTCATTTCAGCTGCCACAGATCTCAGTGATGCACGCTATACGTTTAGCAGAACAGTTGAAGCTTTCGTCTATAAAGCAGCGGCTTTTCGACACAATTTCAATAGACGTTTTTAGGTGAGTAATTTACTTGAGCCCACTGAAGTTTTTCGTGAGGTGAGTTTCATTTTATCGTGTGGGTTACAGATCTCTGGCCTCTGACGAGCAGTACAAGAAGATGGATGCGGAATTAAAGGCTGAGCTTCTTGAGAAATGGGGAACGTTCCTCTGAGTCGAAAGGCAAATAATTTTTCTGATGACATCAGTTGGATATTTGACTATAAACTATCGTTTTATATTGTTAGAATACTTGTACCTGTTGTATTACTTAAAATTCAACATTAAATCTCACCCTTTTTCATAGTCAATCTCCCTATTTATAATGAGTTTGGCTAGACTTCTTTTGATATTTACTTTCACTCACCGTGGAATTTTGGCGTTGTCCTATTTTTACTCAAAAGTTTATAGTTCTCGTTATTTTCTCGTTGTTTTTCGTAATGCCTGTATTGATTTCCTCAGTGTTTCTATGTATGAGTGTGTTAGTCGATCTAGATGTGTTACTGCCAAAGTCGTGTCGAACGGAAATGTTGGTGTGCAGTGATCTCATATAAGTGTACACAGCTGATAACAGTTCTTCTTTATTTTCCTTGTTCCTTGTGATATATGCCCAAAAACTCGAAAAAAAATTATTAGATGTGGAAATTTTGATCGTTACTTCTATTCTTCGTTGTTTTATTGTCGTCCCTTTATCATTCGATGTAGACCCTTTCGTAGACCCGGTTCTGTGAGTCTGACCCCTCTCTACCCTAAAGACAGCGCCCGCGATCAATCAAGGTGCAGAAACCCTCTGATGTACAAGATGGAGGAGTCCGCAATCACAGAGGATTTTCACTTCTGCGACTCGAAAGCGCTTGATAAAAGAACGCTGGCTCAGCCACGATAAGCTAGCCGCGCCTTCGTGGGCCAGTCCTCCCTTCATCGATTTTTCGTTATTCAACTTTCGTTGGCGGTGTTAACACTTTGGAGAAGAAGATCTCTCCAAACATGCGTTAGAGAACGAGAGCAGAGGGGACGGCTAGGTTCAGGGAACTCGTCCGGAATTCGGTTAGCTCGTCCATTTTCAGTCACGTGCACGGGGTCTTATTTGAAGCGTTTTCGGCGGTCTCTTCCGCTTTTTTCTTCGGATAAAGTCCCACGTACCACATGATCTAATGGTTCTGAGCTCTACAACCTGAGGAAGACGATCGCGGGTGCTGTCTTTAAGTCCTACTATTATATGTTCATTTAAAACCTCATTCATTCCATGCCTACCGATCTCATACTAAGTATTATATAGCGGCTTCATTTATTTATCTATCGGCGGTTTTCATGGAATCTCGGCAAGTGGTCTGCCAATTCGCTGTCCTCATATCATGATGTAGTGTGATGTGTGATCACCACCACTCTGTTTAGTTCTATTTATCGCGCATATTACCGCGGACAAGATTCTTGATGTACAACACTCGTGATTCGTCGTTTTACGCTTAGTTGTTGCGTAGCTTTCCATAGTAAAATTTCTAAATATTGTTTTGTTCGAGCTGAATGCGATGATGGTCGTTAACTTTACTTGATACAACAACGGTTAGATGAGTAGAATTCTCACCGCAGTTTGGCTTCGCTGAGAAGGCACGAAATGGTCTTTTAGCGAAGCCCTGGTACAGATTCACGACTTGTGGGAACCTGTAATTCATTGCAGCCAACGTGGCCTCAGCATTTGTGCGGCACAGTCGCAGGCTTCGCACACGTTTTACGAGATTTTAACTTTGGATGAACGTGTTTAGCTCAATATGATAATTGCAGAGGCTGAGCATTATGTTGGGCGAGACAGCGTCCAACACGGGATCACTTGGGTTTCCGAACGTGCCGACAGCGACTAGGAAAGCGTAGTTATCTAACGAACGGCAGCGTCCGCTAGTGTCTCAGGCGACTAGAAAGTGTGACTATGGACCCAGCGTCTACAGTTTTAGCCATGACCGAGACTTACGGTATTCTGTGAACGTAGTACAGTGCGGTGGCACGCTACCATAATTTCCCGAAAGCTAAATCAGCTCCCTTCATCCCTTTGTTCTCTATCCCGTCGCATTCCTGTGCGCTGGTAGATCGCGTAGATGCGATGTCAATACTTTATTTAGTTCAGCTGACTGGCTGACGGACGCTTGAGAACAGCGATGGCCACTGGTGGAATGGCGGATGAACGCTATCCCCGCGAACGAATGAGCACAGCCTGAAAGATGGAAGTGGCAACACTGTCCCGCCTGCCTAACGAACGGCGCCAATTTTTTGATGTGAAAGCTGTTTTCGTATCATCATCCCTCACTATTTGAGGTTGTCACGACAAATAGTTCCCAGCGGTTTGAATGTTCACTTTATAAACGACCATAACTTTCTAATATCTATGGCGGATTGCATCGAAATAAGCAGCGCGTTCAAATCAGCACGGAGAAACTTTTGCCAGATGTGGACATCAGTCGCATAATCACATCTAAAATGGTGCAACAAAACTGGTGGTACGAGAATCCATGAAACCCACGAGGGCTTTTTTTGCCTGTTCCTGTTGATGAAGTTTCCAGCAAGGAGTGTCTGAAAGATTCGTTTGAAAAAGGTGATGTTGGGTTGGTGAAAGGTCTGAAGAATATGGCGGTTGAGGTAGAACTTCAACCCCCAATTCGTTCAATTTATGGATAGTGATTTGTGAAACGTGTGGGCGGGCGTTGTCATGCAAAAGAATCGGACCCTTTCTGTTGACAAGTGCTGGCTGCAGCTGACGCAATTTTCGGTACATTTCGTCGATTTTTTTCACAGGACTCTGCTGTGATGGTTTGGCTCGGTGACAAAAGTTTATAGTGGTATCTGACCAGCCGATGACCATGCCATGTTGACCATAATCTTTATTCTTGTGAGTATTCGAACTTTGAAAATTTCTTAATCTGGTGGTTTATCGGCATCCAACCACTGTCCGGAACGTCTCCTGTTATCATACATGATCCACTTTTCATCACAGGTGACAATTCGGTCCAAAAACGGGTCGTTTCTGTTGCGCAAAAGCAGTGAAGAAGAAACCTCGAGACGTGCCAATTTCTCACTCAAATTGTGGGGCACCCACTTGTCGAGTTTTTCACCTTCCCAATGCGTTTCAGACCATCCACAACAGTGATCATTGAGGCCCCCACATATGCTTTTAATCTTGATCGATGCTGTCCTCGATTGCGGATAGTAGACCCTCAATATGTGAGTTAAAGAAGAAATATCTGTCGATAGTTTTTCTCTTATTGACATGGCTTCAAAAAGTCCTTTGGGAAAAAGGCGGGCTTGCTGCAGCAGATGGTGAGAACGGACAATATAGCCATCAGATTACGCGCATAAGAATTCTCTTTCAGATCTACACTGAGCACGCAAGGGGGAATGAAGTTTTTTAATCAACAGTGAATGTACACAAAAAATAGTAACACAAAACGCTGAGAACTTTCCGGACAACCTAATATTTCGCACCGAAGGCTTGCTGTCGTTTCTCCGACTCAAGTTGCAAAAATGGTTTTTTTATTACTTACTCGAGAAATACACCAAAATGTCCACCGAATTACTCAGTAACCTTCTGCCCGATTCTGTTGAGAGGATATGTTCGTCGCTCTTTGAATGCAGGGTTATTGAGGTAAAAATCTCAAGGTAGATTTTTTGACATCACTTGAGAAACGGCACTTCTTATGCACTGTGAAATCTGAACATGGATGAATCTATTGACGAAAGCACGGTTTTTTTTCTATTTCTGTGGAAGACGTTCCATTGGAGGAGGAGGCACCCACGCCAAGACATTGCTAAAAGGGCTAGATTTTGATGCACGAGCTTGATGCACGGCTTTGGAGGTTTTGATTACATCCTGCACAAACAGAAATGGGGTATTTGACAAGAAAATCGTAACTCGCTGCTCTGGTGGGTGCTGTCGGCGACGTTGCGTCCCGCATGCAGTAACTGAATAGTTCGCAGAGCATGTACAATATATAAATCAACTTTTCCACTAGGACTGTTCGAACAGGGTTATTCATAATAGGAGGTGATGGCTCCCATTCCATTGTGAAACATCTTGCATTGCCGCGTGATGCTCCGCGCGCGACGGTACGGCAGACTACCATATCCAGTTTTGACACGAACTCGTGGGACAATAATACAAAACCAACCTGCTGCACCAACCTTGTACACTCGATACACCTGACGCTTTAGAGAGGTGTGAGGTCAGCAAAGACGCTGTTTCCGATTACACTCTGTTGAAACTAGGCTCTTCCGTGCAGAAATTTGTTGTCTCTGTAGATTCCTATACTGTGGATGGTGTGAAAGATTCCATTTTAGGAGACAGCTGACGAAACATCTCTTTGTCCTCTGAGAACAGCTGAAGATCGAACGAACGTTCGAAGAAACGTGTTTCCCACTTCATGTGGTCGATTGGACATGAACATGGTTAGTTCCAATGTCAACACTTGATCTGGAGTACCGCAAGTGGCGAGCTTAGGGTTGTGGCTAGAGGCCCAACCACTCATCAGGCGCATGGTGTTCGTGTGTTGGGGGAGGGGTACGTTACAGATGGATTCCCGCTCTGGCCAACCAAGCCTCCTGCCCTCCGGTACAGTAAATGGGAATCAGATTTATCTGCGAGGACGAGAACAGGGACATGGGCTTTGCAATTCCTTTTTTGCAACAATGGCCATGCTGTGGTTTGTTGTGACAGTAGGGGTCAACTAACTTTGCGGCAGGGTTCTCCAGCGACCAGCAGCGTTTCGAGCATCCGTCAGTGAATAGGAAAGTATAGATATCGATCTAGCGACCAGCAGCGTCTGAGGGCTAGGGAAGCATAAGGTATCGATTTAGTGACCAGCCGCGTCCAGGCGTGAAGGATATGGCGAGATAGAAGGGTAGCGGACAGCTGGGGTAGAGAGTACGGCGAAGTAAGAGTGTAGCTGCCTGCTACCCTCCAACTTCCCCATACTGTCTACTCCTTGTCGCTGATGGAGCTGCTGGTCGCTGGATCTATACCTGTGCTCCCTAGCCCTCTGGTCGCTGCGGATGGTGGTGGACGCTGCTGGTCGCTGGTGGACGCTGACGGGCGCTGCAAAGTATGAACGAAGCCTAATTGTGCTTTCTCGGCATGTCAGTCTGCTTTACGGCTTTGACGTCTTCTCGAGGGGTTCCTGACACGATTTCGGAACTGCTAGAATTGACGAGGTGCTCGATGTGGTAAGTTGTATTTCAAAGTTGACACAAGTTCGGGCATTTTGAGAGACGATTCATTCGAAGCGTTAGGCCACTAAATAATGTTTCATCTGTCAACCTTGAAAGGCAGAAGCAATTAACACCAATTGCTGACTTATCTATCAGACGTCTCCCGCAAGTTATTGGCCATATTGCACACGAAGAGCCACTAGGATTTCGAATGGAATTCGAGTGAGTGCCGCATCCCAGAAAGGGACTGATTGTTAGCGGAAACCCTCCATTAACACAAAATGACGCGAATCAACACCCATCTGTCCCTTTGGATTCGCCGCACATTTTACTTCTGAAGTGGCACTGGCGCGCATAATTGGCGTTGCAGTGACGTGCGAGGTTTATTTTCAAAGGAAGGTCTTCATCTCCCCAGAGGATTTTTGACCAATTAGTCAAATCTCGTTGTATGATAGGTTTTTTAGAGCAAGCAGCGTTCGATTAACTGACGACAGGTGGTGGCTTTGACAGGCTACAAAACCGGTATAACGCACCACCTAATGTAGGATCCTTCAAAAACTTCGTGGCAAGGCTATTCCATGAAAGACTTTTTGAGAGAAGTCAATCTGAAAGCCTCAACCAAGCTGAGCTTCTGTAAGCTGTGTGTACATCATCTGTGACGTCATAAGAGCTAGAGTTGATGTGCAAGTGGGACCAAACTTTTTCCTCGTAATGGAATTCTTGATGACGCGACTCTTCCTGGTGTTTACATTCGACAAGTTCGGGATCCTTTTCAGAGGGGTCCCTGCTAATTGAGCACTTCAGCTCTAACCATAAGGGCATTTCTGCCCAAATCTTGGAACTCTCTTGTATATAACCTTAATGAGGATTCTAACTACTGCAGGCAGGGTGCAGCATCTGATGTGTGAAATGCGTGGCACTAGAACATTCCGACCCTCCGCCGAAACTTCCTTCTGAGACGACCCCCCTTTTTTTTCTATCCAAGGA